AGGCCAGCATCATGGGCCAGTTCGACCACCCCAACATTATCCACCTGGAGGGTGTGGTGACTAAGAGCCGCCCCGTCATGATCATCACGGAGTTCATGGAGAACTGCGCACTCGACTCCTTCCTCCGGGTGAGCATTCATCCCCTCCTGCCCTGGGGTGGGGGCTGCAGCACATGGGGGACAGCAGCTCCGAGCCCTCCTTCTCCATCCCCCTGCATTGTCGTGCTGGCACCACCAGGGCTAAGCTGTACATAGACATCGTGGGGTGGGGGAAGAGGGGTGGCTCTAGGGAGGAGGAAGGCAGTGGTAGCACATTAGGATCCTTCCCCAATTTGTTTGGGATGTTGCAAACTTCCCTGATCTCTCCTCTGGCAGCTGAACGATGGGCAGTTCACGGTCATCCAGCTGGTGGGGATGCTGCGAGGCATCGCCGCTGGCATGAAGTACCTTTCGGAGATGAACTACGTGCACCGGGATCTGGCTGCCCGCAACATCCTGGTCAACAGCAACTTGGTCTGCAAAGTGTCTGACTTTGGGCTCTCTCGCTTTCTGGAGGATGACCCGGCCGACCCCACCTATACCAGCTCCCTGGTATGGGACACTCGTGGGGTATCCACTGATCTAGGGGTGGGGGGAGACACCTCAGGTATGTGCTAAATAATGGAACTCTGTGTCCGTGCAGGGGGGCAAGATCCCGATCAGATGGACAGCTCCTGAGGCCATTGCCTACCGCAAATTCACTTCAGCCAGTGACGTGTGGAGCTACGGCATCGTCATGTGGGAAGTGATGTCCTATGGGGAGCGACCCTACTGGGACATGTCCAACCAGGATGTAAGTGCTCCCTGGGGAGTGGGGAGCTATGGGCTGCCCGTGGGAGCCCGGGTGGCTCACAGCCTGCCTCTGCGCCTCTCTCTGCAGGTGATCAACGCAGTGGAGCAGGATTACCGCCTGCCACCCCCCATGGACTGCCCCACGGCGCTGCACCAGCTGATGCTGGACTGCTGGGTACGGGACCGCAACCTGCGGCCCAAGTTTGCACAGATCGTCAACACGCTGGACAAGCTCATCCGGAATGCTGCCAGCCTGAAAGTCATCGCCAGCGTCCAGTCTGGGTCAGTGGCATCCCTGTCTCCAGCCAGGACTTCCCCCAAGCCCGGGGGAACACGAGGGCGGTTGGGACTAGAGATGTGGGAGGGAAGGGATAAGAAATCTCCCCCGCTTCCAGTTACACCTCTTTGTCCCCTGCTCCCTGTGACCTGTGGCTCTCTTGCCCTTTAGCATCTCCCAGCCGCTCCTGGACCGCACCGTCCCGGATTACACCACCTTCACCACCGTGGGAGACTGGCTGGACGCCATCAAAATGGGACGGTACAAGGAGAACTTTGTCAATGCCGGCTTTGCCTCCTTCGACCTGGTGGCGCAGATGACTGCAGAGTAAGTCCCTGCTTGCAGAGGAGGGAGAAGGCTGGGGCTGGGGCTGCTGCACATTGTCCCTTGTCCCTCACCTCTCCGGCAGCCAGCTCCTCCTGCCTGAGCATATGGAGGGCTGAGTTGTGCCATGGGGTTTTCCCAGGTGAGTTAAGGTTTGGGATTCGGCATCCGGTCCCCTGTGGTGTTAGAGGGACACTGGAGCTTGGCAGAGGGCTGTAATGAAGACGGATCGGTCCCTTGGCAGCAGCTAGATGGGGCAGGGCCACGTGCTGGTATTGCTGCTGGCAGGGGGCTGAGTCTTCACCTTCTCCTTGCAGAGACCTGCTGAGGATAGGGGTGACGCTAGCAGGGCACCAGAAGAAGATCCTGAGCAGCATTCAGGACATGAGGCTGCAGATGAACCAGACGCTCCCGGTGCAGGTTTGACCGCAGGGGACTCTGCATTGGAACGGACTGAGGGAACCTGCCAACCAGGTTCAGTTTGCGGTGCAGCCCGGCTTCCCGTTTCCCCCTTCACACGGCGCTCCTCTGCCTCGGACGGTCGCCTGGGACGGGACGGGATGGGCCGCCCTTCCCTGGATCGGAGGCACTCGTGCCGAGAGGGAGCCCAGCTTTTCGTCCCGTGTCCTGGAGCGGCGAGGCAGCAACGCATCTTCATATTGAAGATAGATTATGGGACAGAGATGGCACATCCCGCTTCCCGCCCTGTCTCGGTGCTCATCGGTTTGAAGAGTTGTTCTGCTTCTTGGATTTCTTTTCACCCTGTTTTCCCCCCAAGTCCTCAC